GCCCCCTGTTCGGGGCCATTTGCTGGGTGTTTCCCCTCCTTGTTGGTTCTTCTGTAATAAACCGACAGTTTACCCCCAGCAAGTGGTCGCCTCCTAATTCGTCTCTCACCGCTCTGCTCCGAGCTATCCCCCAGCTCAGCCCAAGGCCAAGACACCGAGGGGGGCTGCTTTCTGACGCGCAGGGGCCCTGGCCTTCGCCCCTCACCAGAGAGCCGGATTCCAGGGCCGTTCACGCCCCCGCGCACCCGTGCATCTCTGGCACCCTGTCTGCTTCTGCTGCTGTGCTTGTGCTGCAGCCAAGGGGCACTGCTGTCTGAGCATTGCTGAAAACTGCTGGGGGGGCGTTTCTGGTCTCAAATGTTCCTGGATAGCTCATGTCGTTGTGGGCTGTTCCCTTGAATTTCTTTTAATAAAGACAAATAAACAAACCAAGATGGATCAATGTTAGATTTCCTTCCCCACCTTTTATTCTAAGAATATTATTATTTTATAATATAATAAATAATCACATATATAATTATATTACATAATTATTAAATAATAAATATATTATATAATAAACATATAATAAACATATAATAAATTGTGTATTATACAATAAATTATATAAATAAATATTGAAATATTAAATAATAAACATATATTGTATGTTTTATACAAAATATGAATATATGAATATATTAATATATCAATATAATATATATTTTATATAATATATTATATAAAATATAATAATATAATATATAATAAATATATATTTTATAGAATATATTATTATTATCTAAGAATATTATTATAGTATTATTCTTATTCTAAGAATAATGTTAGCTAAAAAAACTGTGTTTTATGTTCCCCTAGTCAAAATACAAGTTTTAAAGCATAAACTCAATACCAGGGCTACTCTTATGATCTGCCAAAAGTTGTAATCCCCGCACATCATCCAGCACAGCCAAAATGAATTTGATCTGTAATGTTTGCCTTTGTAGGTAGATGTGCTTCATGCAATCCATGGCAGGTTGTCAGGCTGAGAGCTGTCATTCCATTAAGCAGAAATATGATGGAGCCAAGGATTCATACATAAAGGTCATTCATACATAAAGGTCATTCACACTCCTCAGGAAAGCTGATGAATGACAAATTTGAGCTTGTTTTAAGGGTATATCTCAAAGAGCAGTTATTAAATTAAAATTAAGCTTGTAAGTGGTTTTTATTCGGATGATTTGGCCAGCCTAAAGTTGCTTTTGTTGGTGCTGAAATATTGTGGAGTAAATCTGGCTTACTTATACTGAGATTCAAATGGCTGTTTGCAAAAGGGTGAGACGAATAAGGCAGCCTGGATTGATTGCATTTGGTAAACCAAAAAGACAGAAATGTGGTTGAATATAAACAAAGTTTTCACAACAGAAGTCTGAAAACTTCAGTTCTATCAGCAGCTTTTCTTTTGAACAGTTCCATTGATCTATTGAGTTAAATTTAGGACAGTTGTTCTCCACTTGTGTATAATGCCAAAGATTTCTACTGTATTACAAATAGAAGAACTGAGCTTTGTATGCTTATTGGTCTACTAAAATGCCATCCAATGGTGAAATTTGGACTAATAAGCATATTACCTCGTCATAGAGGTAATTATTACCTTGTCCTTGTCTTGCTTTAAGCTGTTCTGAAAGGGAAGCTGTTGAGGCAAGTAGAAAAAGAGGTTTGTGCAGAGGTTATAATAAACAGTTTATGGGACTGTGTGCCATATATTTGCTCCTACTGGTTTTGTGCCCATTCACTTAAATAAATTCTCAAATCTGAAATGCATGAGAAGAAGGGAAATAATTGTCATGAGCTATTAATAAAGGAGCACTTTAAAAAAAGTACCAAATGCTTTGGTGGCTGGTGTGGACTTTTGCAGTTTGCCTTGGCTGCAATTCAAGGATTCAGTGTAAGCTGAGGTGCTTTAAGATTCTCCCTGTCAGTGGTGCACTGCTGTTCCCTTGCACAGCTACCATGGGGTTGTGTGTTATGAAATACTGCAGGATGCTTCAGAGCCTCTGTGTTTTGGCATGGTATCCATTTGGGCATGGTATCCCGTGCTTTTTTGCTTTTGGAGGACTCAAACTCTACTACAGGAAGCAGTTTGTGATTTTCCCACGTCAGGGTTGGGTATTCTTTGTATGCTGCCTCTCAGATAAGGACTGTGACTTACTGGAGCAAAACAGAGAAGGGGAGCTTCTGGTTTTTGGTTAATCCTATACCAATGCTATATTTCTTTCTTTCCCTCCTGCAACAGGGTTGGCTACCTTGCAGGATGTCTGGTTCGTGCGCTGAAGGAGAGACAACCAGACCTGGGTATAACTGAGCGAGACATCCTCTGTGTAGAAATTGCTGGGCTTTGTCATGATTTGGGTAAGGAACACCTGAGGTGGGTTGTTGCTCTTGGAAAGCTAAGCAGGATGAAAAGCTGGCTGTGAGGTCAGAACATGTGAGCTGGTTTGGGCTGCTTAGGGCATGGCCATATTCCAAGACAGGTTTTATCTGTTCTGTTTGGTCTGGAGTACATCTGTGGAGACAGTTCCACCTGAATCTGTAGCCACAGAATCTTCAGCCACCTGAATCTCTTAGCTAGTGTTTTGTCCTATTTATGTCCAAATGGTGCTTAGAGTTCTGCCCTCAGTGGCTGAAGTGTCCACTTCTTTCTGTGGTTTCTCCAGGTCTCTTCAAACATTTCAGAATGAAAATTAGCGTTCCTTTCAAAAATTTTAACATTTATTTCATAGCTACTTCTTTTTTCAGAGCTGACACAGAATAATTTAATATTCTGTGTTGCTGCAGTACTTGCCTGTGGTGTAGGTGCTGGAACTGGTTGCTGAGTGCAGCAGTAGTACTTGAAATATCTTAGGAAAGTTTATTTGCTATACCCAAGTCTTCTTCACAGGTGATGGGGAAGGAATTACCTGGATGGTTGCACTCAGTGGTGGTTACAGGCTCCATGTCCAGGTGGAGCCCAGTGAGGAGTGCCCTGTGTGGGGCTGGTGCTGTTGGATGCCTCTGTCACTGAAGGGGGCAGTGGGATCCATGCACCCCTGGGCAACAGCACCGAGCTGTGATGGAGTCACATGGAGGGAAGGGATGGGGCATCCAGAGGGACCTGGACAGGCTGGAGGGACAGACAGTGGATTGAGAGCACCCTCAGGAGAAGAACTTGGGGGCACTGATGGGTAAGAGAGGACCAGAGGCAGCCCAGATGTAGAAGAATTCTTGGCAGAACAAGGGCAGGCTGTACGTTTACAAGAGTGGGACAACCCTGGCCTGCAGATTACAGAGTTACTTTGAAGACCATGTACTGTCCTGGAACAAGATAGCCCATGTGCTGTCCTTGAATGGATACAGCAGGAGAAAATGAGCATTGTGCCAGGATGAGCCAGATGCCAGGCACATTGTGGGACTGCTAGTTTAGCCCATCTTAGCTAAAAATGCTTCTAGCAAATAACATGGATGTGTGAATGCAGCCACCTCACCAATGAGCATTAAGCACTAGTGGTGTGAGGCAGTGCAGAGAGGCCAAAGACGCCAAAGTTGCTGAATAAAGCAGAAGGACGTGGAGCCATGTTGGTGTGATTGTTGGTGCTCAGCCAACTCTCTGTGGGACCCTCTTCACCCAGAGCCCCCCTTGTGCTGGGCTGACCCCAGCATGGGCACAGCTGGGGGGGATTCTGCCCCTCTGCCTTGCTCAGGTGACCTCCACCTGCAGAGCTGCCACCAGCCCTGGGCCCCAGCATAAGGATGGGGTGCTACTTAAGCACCCCAAAATTGCCCCAAGGCCTTGGAGATACACAAAGGGCTGGAGCCCCTCTGCTCTGGAGCCAGGCTGGGAGGGCTGGGGTAGTTCAGCCTGGAGGAGAGGAGGGAGGCCTTAGACCACATAAAAACGGTTCCAGGAGAGCTCAGAGGGACCTTGGACAGGGGCTTGGAGTGACAGGACAAGAAGGAATGACTTCCCACTGACAGAGGGCAGGGTTAGATGAGATACTGGTAAGAATTCTTCCCTGTGAGAGTGGGGAAGTCCTGGCACAGGTTGCCCAGAGAAGCTGTGGCCACCCTATCCTTGGAAGTGTTCAAGGCCAGGTTGGAGAGGGCTTGGAGCAGCCTGGGGTAGTGGAAGGTGTCCCTGCCCATGGCAGAGGTCTGAATGAGATGATCTTTAATGTCTGCTCCAACCCAAACCAGTCTAAGACTCTGTCATATGTCAAGAAAAGTCAAATACAGGAGAATTCAGATCCTAAGCTTGCTCAAGAATTTTTTGCTGACAACTATGTCTCAGAGTAAAGCTGTATAATCTTTATATTTAAGGTCATGGGCCATTTTCACACATGTTTGATGGAAGATTTATTCCACTCACTCGTCCAGATTTGAATTGGAAGGTAGGCTTTTCACTATTAAAATAAAAAGATAAACCTGAAATTTTTAGAGGCAGAATAATTAGTCTTTGAAGAGTTCCAATGCTTTTGAGGCTCTAGTGGTCATCTGGCCTTACTTTATTGCATCATTTTGATGGCTTAATTGAAAACCAGAATGTTGTTTTCTGATCTTGTGATGATATCCTTGTTAGGTCTCCACTGATCATTTTTGGTCAGCATTGTGCCTTAAAATGCATATTGAGAGCTTTCTGCAGAATATATTTTACATTTCAAAAATACCAACTGGCTGCTTCCTTTCCAGTATGTTTAGTCCAATGGCAGGATATTCAATATTGTTTGAATTCAAACTTTCCAAAACAGTTGTTTGCTGTGAATGAAGTGCAGCACAGTCCTTTCAGCCTCTCTCCGCTTGTAATTTCTTAGCAAAATCAGATGAGTAAACTGGTTAATCTTTTACACAGCAAAATTGATTATTTTGTCTTTTAGCATTGTAACTGTTGCTGTTTGTTAGCACAGGGAATTAATAGCTCTCTGCAGCAGAGTGCATTTCTGGACTCTGTAGAGCGGGTGATTTCCTCTTCTGTTTAATTGAAAATGAGCAGGAAAGCACCCAGCTGCTGCACTTCACACCAGCCTGCCCATGTGCCTGCTAGGCAGTGCTGATGGCTTGGAGTGAAGCTGTGACTCTGCAGGAAAGATGCTTAAACTGTGTAATACAATATTTGGATGGGTTTTTTTCACAGCATGAAACTTCTTCTGTTCAAATGTTTGAGCACTTGGTCACTTCCAATAAACTAGAAGAAGTCATGAGGTCCTATGGTCTTGTCCTGGAAGAAGATCTGTTGTTCATCAAGGAGCAAATAGGAGGGCCCATAGATGAAACTGCCTGTGTGAAATCGGTGAGTCAGGGTGTTGCTCCTGTGCTCATGCCAAGAAACATCTTTATTTCACTGAAAGAACAGATCATTTTGGCTTCTGCTATATGTTACTTCTAGCTCTATAAAATTCTGGGAATCTTGTCACAACTGATGCTGGAGGAGTGTTGTGTTTATTTCTTACAGTGCTGGTAGCTGTGTTAATGTGCTTACAGCTCCCTGAGAATTCTTACCCAAAAGCCTCCAGATTAGAGGAAAGCTGTAGAAAGTTACTTGTATTTAGGGAACCTAACTGGTGACTGGGATCCACTCAGGGGTACTGAAGAGTTGGAAGAAGTGCTCACCAAAGTATTTTTCATCATTTACGTGCAGTCCTGGGTGGTGCCAGTTGACTGGAAATCAGCAGATGTGGCTCCACGAGGAAGGGTCAGAAGGATAATCCAGGGAACTAGAGGGCTGTCAGCCTGCCCTTGGTGCTAGGGAAGGGTATGGAGCAGATCATCCTGAATGCCATCCTGCAGCACCTACAGGACAAGCAGGGAAGCAGGCCCAACCAGCCTGGGTTTAGGAAATGCAGGTCATGTTCAGCTGGAGGGCAGGAAGGCTCTGCAGAGGGATCTGGATAAGTTGGATCAATGTGCCCAATTGTGTGAGGTTCCACAATGCCAGGTGTTGGTCCTGCTGCAGGCTGGGGTCAGGGCAGCTGGGAAGTGGCTAGGCAGAAAAGAGGGGCTGCTTGGTTGGCAGTGACTGAAAATGGGCCAGATGTGCCCAGGTGGGCAAGAGGACAATGGCCTGTACCAGCCACAGCATGGCCAGCAGGACCAGGACAGTGACAGTGCCCCGTGCTGGGCACTGCTGAGGCCACAACTCGAATTCTGCATTCAGTTTTTGACCCTTCACTTGAAGAAAGACACTGAGGTGCAATGGAGAAGGGCAGTAGAGCTGGGGAAGGGTCTGGAACACAAGTATGGTGAGGAGCAGCTGAGGGATCTAGGGGGGCTTGGCCTGGAGTAAAGGAGGCCTCCCCCAGTCTGGGTAACAAAACTGGGCACTGGCAGTGATCAGGCAGGGAGGAATCCAAGCCTGGCCCAAGAGCCAGAGCCACAACAGCTTTGATGACAGCAGTGAAATGCTTGGATTTATTGCAGTAGCAAACATAGAGGATAAGACTTGAAGAAATGAGTTGCCTCAAGAGGCAAGCAAGAGGGGATGGCAGTTGTTAATCATTGCAACTCTATGAAAGACTTCAGTCCTCTCCTCATTTTACACTTTTGTCATCTCTTCAAGGACACTCATTCAGTTGCCACCAGAGTAAACAACTGGTAGCAGCTGAAGTCAGTGGGAGATCTGTCAGGACAATCTGGTGCTAATCAGAATTTATATGTAGTCCCAAACAAGCAACCCACAAGTGTTCACACTTGCCCATTATTTTCTGCTGCAGGAGTATGTGGCAATCCCATGGCAAATAGAAGGAACTTGGAGTAGTGAAATTGAGTCTGAGATCCTATAGGAAGGGGATGTCCATTTACAAAGTCCACAAGCTGATTTTTATCCCACTGGGTTCGTTTGTACACGAATCTTGGTGCCTGCCACTGGCATTGATTGTGTGCCAGGTTCTTTCCCCGTGTCTGGTTTGCCCTGTTTGGATTCTGTGCCTGTTTTCCAGCAGGATGCCAGGAAGGGGAGTGCCACACACGGTACATGGCAGCACCTTCCTGGTGCCAGGCAGCTCATGGCACTGGCAGGCTGTGCACTGTGGTGCAAGCCTGTCATGACATGGACAATGGCTGCTCAGGCACCAGACATAAACAGTGTCCTGAGCATGTCCCAGTAGCAGAGCTCTGTGATCGTGGGATTTTTATCCATGATGTGTTTGCATCCTGTTGCTTGCATGTGTTTCTGTTGCTATTTACATCAGTTTTAGTATTTCTGTAGTGCAGGTAACATGGAAGTTATGTTTGCATACAATGCTTTCCACTTTCAGAATTTCAAGGCTACTTTATGGCATATTTTTAGGTGAAGAATCTTTAAATTTTCAAGAAAATGTGCACCTTGTATCTTATTATTTTGGTGTTTGTTTCCTATTTACCTTATGGCTGAATTGTCCCTTGTGAGGCAGGAGTTTAAGTAGCGGAATATTCAAAAATTTTTTCTTAAAACTTTTAAGTGTTTTTAAACTGTGTTCTATGAAGTTGTAGATTGCAAAAGATTGCAGGACAGTGACATATTTGTGTATTTAATTCCCTGAAAATGAAATAATTCCAAAATTTCCCCTCTTTGTTGATATGTTGTTTTTTGTTTCTTCATTCCCAAGCTCAGGCTTTCTTTTAGTAAAGTAATGGGCAATGAATACTTGTGTTCATGGGTTTTATTCTTCTTGAGATTATGAGAAGACAGTTGCTTAGGCCCTCTTCTGGATTTCTAATGCCTGATAGCTTCTGGAAGTACTTTTCTTTGTGTTCTTCACTACTTCAGTGTTAGGTGTTCATCACAAGCAAAGTCAAGGTGTATTCCCACTGTCTTTGAAAAGCCATTAGACATTGTTGGTACACTTTAATTTCTTGTTGTTTCTGAAGTTTTTATTTTTGGCTCCCCTGTCAGTGGCCCTACCGTGGTCGACCAAAGGAGAAAAGTTTCCTCTATGAGATTGTAGCTAATAAGAAAAATGGCATTGACGTTGACAAGTGGGATTATTTTGCAAGGTACAAATCTTACATTTTATTATGAATTCCTATTGACCAAATGCTACCATATGTACAAAAATGATCCTGTGGTTGAACACTCTGTGCAATATTTCTAGGGATTGCCATCACCTGGGAATCCCCAATAACTTTGACTATCAGCGATTGCTTATCTTCACCCGGGTGTGTGAAGTGGGGAACCAGAAGCACATCTGCCCCCGTGACAAGGTGAGCAGGGGGAGCACCTGGGGACACACAGGGGAGCTGCACCCCGTGGCTGGGGGTCCTGCCCCATACTCCCTTAGCCCAAGAGGGACAGAAGTATTGGCTGCTCTGAACGTTTTTCTCAGAAGCTGCTTTTTGGGAGAGGGACAGAGCAAACCATTGTTTGAAAGGATTTGTGCAAGGCAGATCCTGTCAGGGGAGACTCTACAGACCCCTTAGATCTGTGTAATCCTGCTCCAGCTCTGCTGGGCAGGAAGGGAATGTGGCTGTGGTGAGGGGCTGCTAAAGGGATGAGGGGTCCTCTCCACTGCCTGGGGTCACTGCCAGCACTCTGCTCTCCTGCAGTGGCCTGAGCCAGTTTCAAAATTTGGAAATTGTGAATAATAATCATTCTGCTTTATGCTGTGAATGAGAGGAGATAAATAATTTGATTAATTGATTGATTGTTTTAATTTTCCTGGTAAGACAGTGGCAAAAGGAAATGCTAATAGGGTTTTTTTGATTCAGGAAGTTGGAAATCTGTACGAGATGTTCCACACCCGGAATTGCCTGCACCGGAGAGCATACCAGCATAAGACTGGCAACATCATTGAAATAATGCAAGTGTATTTTCCTTTCCTTCCTTTTCAATTTATATTTCAATTCTGGAAACAATCCATATCCATTGGAATATTCAGAAAATCAATAAGGTGTGACATAGAATAAAAGCTACATCTGATTCTTGTGAAGAGACTTAGTGCTGAGAGTATCATAGAGGCTGTGGTTAGCAAAGCAAACAAAAGCAGAAAGAGAGGAGGACAAAAGTATCATTCCACATTAAATTAAATGAGGGGAAAATTGCTAAAAGCCTGAAGAAGCACAAGACTGGGGTGTGCTTAAACCTTTTAAACTGCTGACAGCTGAAGTCAAATCGTTATCTGCAAGTTAGAGACCACTTAGCTCAAACTGCCTGGTTACTAGAGCAAGGTTGCTAACAAAGTCATGAAAGAGCTCATGTAGTTTAGCTGAGGCCTGGCTTTGTGTTTATGTAATGCAAGATTTGTTCAGGACCAACTCAGCTGCCTACCTGCTGTTTTACCTCTCTTGTTGATGTCTACAGAATTTTCCTTATAACATTATTCTTTTTACTTTTCTTGAGAATCAGAATTACTTGTATCTCCAAATCTTTTTTTCCTTAGGGTCTTGTCTGCTTGGTAACTGTTGAGTTAGGTAAAAAGGTATGTTAAGGATTACACAGTACAAGAGTGATTTGGATTGCTTTCATTTCATAAACTTCAGCTCTTGATTTAGGGATCCTCTAAAGCTCAGACTAAAAATGCTCAGGTTTGACAGTACCTATATATGACAAGTAAAACATATTTTTTAGTTTAGAAAAACTCAGTTCTTGGCTTCCTGTAATTATAGCAGCCTTTCCAAAACAGTGTCCAAACTGGCAATGACAGCAAGGTACATGGAAATTTGGAAGAACCTTATCTTTAGATTATAATTTTTCCCATCTGAAAATATTACATGTTTGTGATGCTTTCACTTTACAATGCTTTGTACGTTCTCAGCTAACTGGGGAGTCAGGGAGTCTGTAAAAGGGTTTGGTCATCTGTGAGGGAACCTTACTGCAGCTGAGGGACCCTGTCAATGTTTTGCAGGGTTCTGCAGTTGTCTCAGCAGTGCTAAACCCAGTCTAAAGCAGAAAAAAGTGAATTTGCTCATTCATCTAAAGGTTACATTCTGTTTTGAACCTGTCTTCAGTAAATCTCTGTTGGAATGTGCAGTGACAGCATGGAGACAAGAAGTTGCAGTGATCAGTGTGTGCTGTGTGCTGGGGATACAGTTTCATCTGTTGTCTTCTGTTTATAACATACTAAATTGTTTCATTCTGCCTGTTGACCATTGAGGTGTTTCAAAATGGTATTATCCTGAAGTCATAATTTTGTCTCAAACTAGGATAACAGAAGCCTTTCAAAAAGCAGACAAATATTTTGAAATAAGAGGCTCTGAAGGAAAAGTGTATCGGATTTCTACAGCCATGGAAGACATGGAAGCCTACACTAAACTAACTGGTATGAGATGTCAGAATTATTTTTTTAAGTAAAAGAGCATGACTGCCTGTTAAAATGCTGGTTTTATTGCTTTTGTGCACAGAAGGTGGGGCAGGCCTGGACTGCCTAATGCTTGTGATCTGAAATCTTGCTGAAAGGGAGAGCAATACCTTCTAATTTAAAAGACTTTTATGTTGTGAGAGGGAGAAAGAAGCACTAACTTTGTATTCCACACATGTTCAGATTCAGCAGTGTTAAAGGTCCTGCCTGTGCCCTGAGTTTGTTGCACGTGTCACAAGGGGGATGTGAGTGAGCCCTAAGTGGTACTGCAGGTGGCTCTGTCAGGTGAAGTTCTGGGTGTGTTTTGTGGTGTGAAGCTGTTCCCAAAGCAGGTTCCAAACAGCTCTCGTGGGGTCCCAGGTTGCCCTGCCTGCCTGCCTCTCCTGGTGTGTGCTGTGGGGCCCTGGTGTTCCCCTGGTTGTGTTCAGAGCTGCAGTGGGGCCAGGCAGCCCTTCTGCTCCCAGGCGCTGTGGTTGGCTCTGTGTGCAGGGCAGGGTGCTGCAGGTCCTGCTCAGGGCTGCTCCTGATACTGGCAGCTCTTGCAGCACCTCTCAGCTGCAGCTCACCAGGACTTCCAAGCCAACACCCCTGAGTTTCCATCACCAAGCCTTAGCTGGCCAGCAGAGAGACTGAAGAACTTCTATCTTTGGTCCATGGATGAAGTGCCTGAGGGCACTGTTGCAGAGAATCCTGTGTGCCTTAGCCTTTGTCATGCTAAAGGCCTTCTGCTGGCAGTCCTTGATGTGCCACAGCCTCTGCAGTGTGCCCCCACTCCTGCTGCTGCAGTGAGGAGTCCCCTCTGTCTGTGTGCCCCTGCTCAGGGCAGGACAAGGGTGCCTGCTTTGAGGGGCAGTAGTTGTTGGGGAACATGAGCTGCATTGCTGAGCAGTGGAAGGCTGGGCAGAAAGGAAAGAACTGAGGTGAAGTTGTTGCTGGGGAATGGCTGGTGTGGCAGATCCTGCTGTAACTGCTTGCTTACCTCTGGTGCCTGGTGAGGAGCACAGCTCAGGGCAAGGGCAGCAGGGCTGTGCCCAGCCCCTCACAGTCTGCCACAGCAGGGAGCTGCTTGCTGGGACCATCTGTTCTGCAAGGAGGGTGATGTGAGGAATGTTCCAGCATGTACAGTGGCGCATGAAGGATGAGTATGGCCTCCTCCTAAACCTCCTTCCTGCCTCTGGTGCTGTGAGAGTAAGATATTTCCTTTTTTTTCTTTTCACTCAGGGAATTTCCTTCCAATTGCTGCCTAAGAGATGGGAATGAACAATATTTAAGAGAGACAAAAGATGTAGCCAGGGAGGAGGAGAAAGGATGCAGTTTGCTGCCATTCTCTTGGGAAGGGCAGAGTGGTGGGAGATTTTGGGTGAGGGGCTGGGCTGGGCTCAGCTCTCGCCCTTGGGCTCAGCGGTGACACGGGCAGGCTGCTGCCCTGGGGAGGATTTGCTGCCACTGCAGAGTTCTGCCCTGTGCTGCTCTCTGCTCACCGGGGCTGAGCTTCAGCTGCTGAACTGGGACCTGTCCAACACCCGACCTCACGGGGGAGGGACCCCAGCCCCGGCCCCATTCCTGTCTGTGGGACAAGGCTGGCCCGGGGTCGGTGCTGCTGGGCTTGGGGTTGGTTTGCCTTGTTATATACACACACACTAGCAAGGAACAGCTATTCCTTTTCTCCTATCTTTGCCCGAGAGCCCTGTCACTTCAAAGTTACAAGAATTCAGAGGGAGGAGGGTCATCTTCTCCATTCCAAGGGAGGTTTCCACCTTCTTGGCAGACACCTGTTCTTTAATCCGGGACAAGTGCTTGCAACCTGGACAGTCCTTAGGGTTGTTTCAGCCGTCCCTGGTAAGTGATGCTTCTGTGAAATTGTCCAGTTATGGACCTCTACAAATGATGAACCTCTTTGTAGCAGGCACAGGGACTGCAAAGGCCCCGTGGAGGGCAGAGGCCTAAAGACAGGAAATGCCAAGTCATGGTGAATAGCTAGAAGCCCCTCTCTTCCACCTTTCGGACCCCAGCTTATCTCTCTGTAACCCTAAACCCACTCCCTTTTAACCCCTGCTATTGGACAGTTTCTGATCCCCCTATACCCTATAAAATAGGCTGGTTTAGCCCAGTTCTGTAAAAGAGTGTCACTGGAATTCACAGATCACCCAATAAAGACATTGCTGTGGAACACCAGAATGGCCTTCACCTCTTGCCCTGCGTCTGCCTGCCTGCAGCACAGAGCAAGCTAAGAGCTGAACTCACAAATAGCTGATAATCACTAAAGAGCTGATATCCATTATGCTTGCTAAGGTAGGCAGTGGCTGAGAGCTGCTTGGGAATCCAGGCAGTCAGTCCCCATAAAGGACTGAGCTGTCCAGCCAGTGCTGCCTGCTCAGGGGCAAACCTGAACCCAGCAGGAGGCCAAATTAGAGGTTCTGCAGCAGAAGGTTCCCAACTTCTTTCCATGGTGGGTGAAGAACCACCAGGTGTTGCCTCCTGATTTGGCAGCAAATCCTACTTCTAGTAAAGGCTGAGACAGCGATTCCTTGTCACTGCTGCTTTTGCACAGGGATGTTCATGGGCTCCTTATTTCCCCTGCATTATCTATTCTTTGTCTGAAGAGACCTGGTCTGTGGCTCCTCATGGAGGAGTTCCTGGCTTTGGTTGACCTTGTCCATTAACCCAGTTGAAGGTGTTTTGGTACATGGCTCACAGATTGCTCTGGGCCCTGTTGGGAGCTCCTCAGGCTGGTTGCAGCTCCGGGTGGGCTCTTGCAGGGCTGTGCTTGCAGCATGTGTTGAAGCTGCCCTGGTGTTCCTGGCCAGGGGATGCAGTCATGGGGTGCAGATAAGGTCAGCAGCATCCTGGCATCAGCAGTCTCTAGGACAGCCAAAAATAATCTTTCTGCTCTGAAGCCACCTCAAAACAAGCCTGTCTTTCTCCTCCTGATGGTGGGAATCTTGCTGCATGTATCACGGTGTGTGGAGTCAGGAGGGAGGATTTTGATGCTTGCATCCAAAGTCTGAGAAAATCTGAAGGCTTAATGGCCATTCTTTATTTTTTTACAAGACAGAGTCTTTACCCATGTCCTGAGCTAGTTAGTGGTGGAGTTCAGGATAGTCTGCTAAACAAGACTGGCTATATAAGAGGAAAAAGTAATTTCTAGTGAAATAACAAAGTATGTTGCCAGGGTGAGAATTGAGATAGCTTTTCTGCCAACAGCCATTGTGAATCTAATGATAATTAAGATAATATTGACTTCTCATTGTCAGACTTAGTTCCCTCATTCCCTGAAAGTGACTTTCCTGAACCAGCAGTTTTTCTGATTGCTTTAACCTTTGGCCCTGTTTGTTCATTTTACTGTGACACTGGATTGTGACATACATAACAAAAATCCATGCAACTTTGGCAGACTATGTCTACCTGGAAATTCTGCACTCAAGTAATCCGGAACTGGAGGAGGCACGAGAAATTTTGCGTAAAATAGAACGACGTGAATTATACAAGTTTTTAGGAGAGACTCGACCTGAATCAAAGAAGGAAATTATAAAGGTAATGTCCCTTAGCAGAAGGTTCTGAATTCTGTTCCCTTAAAAATGTTCTTGAAGTTGCTGAACATCCATTTGTTTCTATGTGGGCTTTGTTTAGTTTAAGGGTTTGGGGTTTTTTTGTTATTAGCTATTTGAAAAACAGAGTCAAAAGTTTTCCCCCCATCTTTAAGTAGCTGAGCCATGAAACATATAAGAAATTGGGGAAAGTTTTATCTACAAACAGTCAGAAAAATGCCAACAGATGGAAATTCAGAAGCTGAATTACTGCAGAAATATTTCCAGGAAAAACTTTTCTGAAAAATACAAAATTTTATAAAAGACTCTTACAGTCCAGTGATTGAAAAGGTTATTATATCATTTGACGTTCATGAAAATTTCCAAACAATTAGGAACTCATTTGCTTTGAACCGTAATTTGTGTGCTTTGCTTTGAGAATAAATATCAAACTGAATAATAACTGCTGAATTTCTTGGTGTTGAATTCTGTACTAAGCATGAGAATGCAGGTACTTTTCCCAGTCTTTTTCATGAGTGCTTTTCAAAGCAGATAGCAGTTTAATTCCTGTTGTCTTATTTCAAAATAATGATATTTTAGAGCTCACTTCAGCTGACTCAGCTGTTTTAATGTGCTACACTGTGTGATCAGATCATCAGTTACTTATCCCCAAATTTCAGCATCATGGTGAAAACTTTCTGTTTCTGATTTCCAGAAGTGGATGTCTCTATCTACAAAGCCTTCATAAAAATAGTTCAGCTCTTTTAAAGAATAAGGTTAGAAAAGGACTACTAGATGTAGCTGTTTGAAGAGAAGCTTTGCTTGTGTTCTTTGTTTATGAAAAAGTCGTGTTAAGATTCTGTATTACAAAAGCAGGAGGAAATAGGTGAAAGCAAACATTAAATGGTTGTACATGGATTGTCAAGTTTCTGCCCTTCTGAGGAGAAGGTTGGGGTAAGTGGCCCAACAAATAAGGAGACAGGTGTGAGAGCAAATGTTATGATTTCCACCTTTAAACAGCTCCTTTTAGAAACTTGGTAGCTTGCCTTTTAGAAGCTCCTGTGGCAGGAATGTCAGAGCTCAGCCTCCTCCCAGCTCCCAGACAGAGCTGTGTCTGCTCTGCTCCTTCCCACACCACAAGGTTGTGTCTGGAACCACTGAATGGTTTGGCTTGGGAAGGGCCTTTAAAGGCCATCCAGTCCAGCCTCCTGCCATGGACAGGGATGACTTCACTAAAGCAGATTGCTCCAGATTGCTCCAATCCAGCAGATTGTTTCTGTGGTTCTCAGGCTGGCCAGAGCCAGGGGAAAATCCCAAAGAGCTTGAGAGTTCTCAAATTCAGGTTGAGTTTCCAGTTAATGCAAACTAGAGAGGTAAATTCAAAATGATGCAAGCAAAGTTAGGCAGTCGGATAACACGTATACATTCTGATACAGAGTAGAAATAATTACAAACAGGCTGCCTCAAGCCTGTTCCCTCCTGGCAAAGTTTTCCTCCAAGCTTGCTCTCAGTCTTTCTTTGGTTTCTTGAGTCACTGCAAACTCACTGCAAACCACACATGTGCCTTAGCTTGTCACTGTGTGTGATTTTCTACTCGTCAGTCTCTGCACCTCTGCAATGAACAAATCAGCAGGAAAAAAAACCCAAAAAAAACCCCAAAAAACAACCCAACTGCTCCTAGCAGAATTCCTTCCCTCCTGGACAGTCTCCAGACTGCTCTGGGCTGCACTCCCATGAGTCTCAGTTGCTCCCAGGAAATCTTGGTGCTTCAAGTTTTGCATCTTCCCCAGAACACAGCAGCCCTGAAAAAAGGCCACAGCCTTTGCATGAGGACATTGAGGACATTTCAGTGGACAGCTGTTCTCCATCCCACCATGCTCCTCTGCTTTGTGTTAGCCTCAGTGTCAGCAGGGAATATTCCCTTGGGGCCAAAACCAAACAAAACCCCTTTGTGGGTTTTAGCTTTTGTGGAGAACTTTAGCAGAATACTGTTTGTGGGTTTTTAAATTTTGTGGTTGTCTCTTGTGGGTTTTTTTATATGTTTTACTGCATAGATATAAAAACTTTATCAGAGGGTAAGATCCTGCAAGCCCTTCATTTGAAAAGTTCAGTGAAAATGTCTAGTATTCAGCTTTGGGGAACTTAATTGTAACACATTTGTATTGTAAAACAGTTGATTGAAGGTACTTATTTTCTGCTTCCATGCTTCAGCATTCTGGATGTTGCACTCTTGCTCTCCCCCTGCCCCATCACCAGGTCTAAAGCTCCTCCTTCACAGACTGGCAGATTTTGGGTTTTCTCATTTGCATACATTTGGTTTGTTTCTAAAAACTGGGTTTTATACTAATGGCTATGGTGTACAGTAATTCAAACAACCAGATGGTTGCAAGAGTCTTGTCAAGCTGTGAAGAATTGAAAGCTTTAGTTTAGAAACATATTGTGTCACCTGTTGTGTTGCCTTGACCTAGACCTGAGAGTGCATAAATGTGATTTGAGTTACTGAGTTAATCCTTTGGTTTGGTTTCTTCCAGAGTAACAGCCTGGCAGAAAGCATTGCTAATTCCAAGCCAGAGAAGGACCCTCCAGATGTGGAGCTAAAGGCTGAGAATTTCATAGTTGATGTAAACACCTCTCAGAGCGGGTTCAAGTAAAAACTTCTCCATCACAGAGGGCCTTGTGTGGTGCAAGAACAAAGCCCCAGGGTGTCTGTGGCTGCAGCCTGGCTCCCTTGGAGGCTCAGAGGTTTCTTCTGGGGGGTTTGCTGTGGTGGGAGGTGTGGGGCAGGAGGGGGAGCCTCACTGGGCTGTCACCTGTACCCTGCCCTGGTGACAAATGGGCTCTGTTGTCACTGGAGATTGCTGTGGGGTTTGATACCTGGCTGTCACTGGCAGCAGCCCAGGCACCACTGGGTGGGTGAGGGAGGCAGGAAACCCCCAGAGGGAGGAAGGAGGCAAAGTGGGCTCCAGGTGCTGCACTCCTGGTGCTGGCAGGCACAGAGCCCCTGCAGCCAGCAGTGTGGGAGGGAGCTGGGGCACTCTGCAGGCTTCACCCAGCTCCGTCCCTGCTCTCAGCTCATTCTGGGAAGAGACACTGGCTTTCCACACAGTGCATCACCAGCTGCTCCTGCAGTGCCCTTGCACTGAAGGTTCCCTTCACTGGGCCAGACTGGAGCAGCTCCCTGAGCTTTGCAGAATTTGCCTGGGCTTTTCCCATCCCACAAACTGAAATGGTAGGGAAGTGGGTCCCTGCTGACCACAGAAGTGTTGGTGTACCAGGCTGATGTAAATAATGTCTAAAGCTCATGTTTATGGTTGTGAGCTCTGCTGCAGCCTCTGTAGGTTGTGTGTTTTGGGGAGGCCCAGGCTGGCAAGGGACCAGTCCACTTCCAGTGCTGGAAACTGGAATGTTCCAGAGCACAGCTGGGAGCTGGTCACTGTAAATGTGAATATCCACCTGGCAGCATCAGAACAAGGGGGGTAGAAGAAAATACAAATACCAGATTGGTTTTTTAAGTAATAATTTGTTAAATACTGTTTCATTTGATGACTGTAATTTTCAGGAGTGGGGTGTGTGTGGCCTTTTATATTTATTTTGAGAAAACTAAAGACAAACATTAACAAATGCCATTTTCTTTTTTTTACATGCAAGGTTATCAGCATGGATTATGGAATGAAGGAACAGAATCCAATTGATAAGGTTCACTTCTATTGCAAGGCTGATCCTTCCAAGGCAGTTAAAATCAGTAAAGAACAGGTAGGTTTTTTCTTTCCTTCTGAAAAGCATTTTCACCACCTGTGATGGAAGTGATCACGGTCCTGGGTAGTTGTTCATGCAGGATTTGTGGAGAGGTGGTGGAATCCATGGCCTTGCAATCTTCAGTGTGACAATCTGGAACCCTGACAGCCTTTGCCTATGAACAGTATTTAACTGGAATACACTAGGAGTTGGAATATCACAATTGCTTTGGATAAAACTCATGGATTGTAGTGGAGCTTCTTACTGCTTTCCTTCTGTATTCTAAGAAATACTAAAGCTTTTTTCTGTTTTATTTCAAAGGTTTCAAAGCTTTTACCCATAATATTTATGGAGCAGGTTGTCCGGGTTTATTACAAAAGTCAGGACCCACATATTATTTCAGCTGCAAAACAGTACTTTATTCAGTGGTGCATACAGAATGATTTCACCAAACCACAGGTAACAAATCCACTCATTATATTTCTTGTTTAGAGCTCATAATCTTCATCCATAAGCTTGCTTTTTCAGTAACAAGTTGGACATTCAGGCCTTGCCTTAGTGGCAGAGGCCCCCACTCACTCACCTAACCCCTGGTTTTATCAGCTCCCATCTGGGGGTGCCTTGGTTTCACTGGAGGCTGGAGATACCTGAAAGTACCACAGGATCATGGAATCATAGAGTGGTTTGGGTTGGAAGGGGATTTTAAAGATCACCTTGTTCCAAAGCCCTGCCATGGCAGAGACACTTTGCACTAGACCAGGTAGGGGAAAGAGCTGCAGCCTCAAACAGGAGAGGAGTGCTGGGTAAACAGGCATGGAGAGCTGGGTGAGGCCCGTCCTTAAGGTCATTCTTCTGGCCTGTGTCTGTTAGAGCAGGTAATTTTAGAGGGGCTTTTTGCAGATGGATCAAGCCACAGCTCTCCCTGGCTGTGGGGTGTGGTTGTGTCCTCTGACCCCTTGTTCAGGGTCAGCACATGCACCCTGCAGGCCCTGGGTGCTGCAGAGCACAGCAATGTCCATTCAGCAGCCAGTTCCTGCTCTTGGGCAGCCGTGGTCTGTGTTGGGGTGCCTGAGCACAGATCACCCCCTCATCTGCCTGGGGTGAGCCCCCCCTGCCTCAGCTGCTGCTCAGCCCTTGTTTCAGACAGTGCAGGGCACAGCCAGCACCAAGGGCAGCTTCATTACAGCAGGGCCAGTGAGGGGCTGTGCTGAGGTCACAGGAAACACTCCAATGATTCTGTTAGTAGAGCAGTGACCTTCTAGATTTTCTGGTAATAATTTAGGAAGAACCTGACTGCTAGTGCTGATGCCTTTTGTCTCCCCACCACTCACTGCAGCAGTTTCCACCTCTGGAATGCACAGTCACCAGTGTTTATTGATTTACAAAGATTCTGGGACCTCGCATTGATTTTTTCCTGTTCAGCCTCAGGGTGAGCTGCTTTTCCCTGGCCTTAGAATGGAAAGCAAAAGTGAATTAATGTTTCCTGTATTTTCATACTAGGATGGTGATGTTGTTGCTCCTCATCTAACTCCAATGAAGGAAACCTGGAATAAGATGACAGATGATGAACACAGGAGAGCCTCAGAACCCAGCTGCAAACAAAGGCTTTCTTTTGATGAGTAACAGGTTTCTTTTTGGTGCTATGCAGTCTCCTTCCTCAGAAGCTGAGTAAATTTGAGCATCAACTTTTCTAAAAGCTGGTTGGACGCCTGGAATAATTCACAGAACAATGCAGAATGTATTTTGCAATACAGAATGTTTTAATGTAGATACTTAAAGTGCATCTTCCAGATGGACTTCTAAAAACCAATTTATTACAACAGAGTAAATCAGTTCTCATTGATTTTTTTAATGTAGTGGCACTGTGTAGCAGGAGTAACTTTAAAAATTACAATTCATTGTTATTACAAGATTTTACTACTCCATCCAGTCCTGGTCCCTTCCTATTGCATGACTTAGCAGAAAAAATCCCAAGCCAGGTTTGATGGGGTTTTGGGGGGGGGTTGGGGTTTTCTTAGTGTCTGAGGAGGAGAGGGGTAGGTATGCTTCTGAAAATACAGTGAGGTAAAGAAGAAAGTACCATGGGAGGCATCTTCAAAATTAGCAAAATTAATTCAATGGAAAAAAAAAAAAAAAGGAGGGAGAGGGGAATCTTTTGATAATCAAAGATTAAATTTCTGGTATTCAAAAAGCTGGTGCAAGCCTCTTGCTACAAGTGACCACAATTTTTATTGCAGTAACAATGCATTGCACTGCCATGCAGCCTTTTATTGTTTTATTGTGTATTTTTGATACATAGAATGTTATATTTTTTACTGTCTGTCCTGCAAAGACTGCTCTAAAGGCCAGTGGTGTGAGTAGTTGCAGGAAGGCCCAGCTGCCCAGGTGTTTGCCAGGGCTCAGGTGTGCAGAGAGGGCAGTGCCAGCTGGGCTCTGCACCCAGAGCACCTTGGCTCTGCTGTACACTGTCCTGGGCAGGCAGGCTCATCAGGAATCCCTCCATTTTGTATCTGCTCTGTTCTCCTGGACCTCATGGCTGTCCCTGTATCATTTTTCTGTCTCTTGTAGATCTGTGAGGGTTCTTACAGTTTTCCTGTACTGGCAGTACTGGTGTGAGTGTTCTGAATGTCTGTGCTGTTGGACAAATGAAGACCATTTTCCTCTCATCTTTTACTCAGGTCTAAGAGGAAGGCTGCTTACATTAAATAAAACCTCAAAGCTTGAAAAAGTCTGACCACAAAACTAAAAACAAAAGTAAAAGATTCAGTAATGCTCAGGAATTGGAGCAATCTGTGGCCTTTATATCTGGAAAGGGGAGAGAGGTGTTGAACATCTGGCTCAGGCAGTCAGGTGTGGGTGGCCAGGGTAGGTCCTGAAGAATAACCCAGTGGGAAGGTGCTGTGATAGAACTCCACAACCCCTGTAATGTCCCTTTGCCCTTTTTATCCTGGGAAGTGATGCTGTTGGAGGGAGGGAAAATGAGTAGCCAGGTACTTCTGCTGCTTATGTGTCTGAAGGTGTAATCTCTGGTGCTCCTGTCTAACAGTATTTCAGACCTGCAGATGAACCAGATTGGTTAGAAGGGCTTGTGACCTCTTTAAAAGCTTTTAAAAAATTTGCTATTCCTCAAGAAACAATATCTTAGAAATATAATTTATCCCCCTTGTCTGCATAAGATTGAGTTTCATTTTGATATAACTTTGTTCTTGTTGATTTGGTTTGTTTTTAATTTGTTACTAACTGCACTTTATACTTGGAAAAGATCTTTTGTTTATGTTAAACCAAAAGCGTATACTTTAATTTAAGTTCTGAGAGCATTTCTTTTCTCAACCTGTTCATCTGAGCCTCTCTAAAGAATAAATTTATAAACAATGATTTACTATTCTTTTAAAAAATTGCAGTGTGTGGACTTTATTAAAAACAGTCTTACTGTGCCATTCCAAGCAGCCAAGGTGTCTGTGGGGGAGCTTCTCTCTGCAGAGGTTCTTGGTTGCTGTGTCCTCGTGGGCTGCAGGCTCAGGGGGTCCCAGCCCTGCTGGTGCTCAGTGTGCCCACCTGGCCCTGCCACAGCCTGGCAGCCCCCCCGGGGCCAGGGCAGCCTTGGGTGAGGCTCCAGCTGTGGGCAGGGCAGGGGCAGCCCTGCCTGAGCAACCCGGTCACCACCTGTGCTGAGGGGACAGGGCTGGAGAGCAGGGCTGCACCAAAGCCTGGCTGCAGGACTGGCTTCAGAGCGTGGCTTACCAGGGGCACTGGTCTTGTGCTGGGGGTGCTGCTGGCTCCAGTGGCAGAGGCCCATCACTGCCTGACAGGGTCCACCCTCAGCACGTTTGCAGATGGGGAGACGTGGCTGCTGCTCCAGGGGATGTGCTGGGATCCGGAGGGGTCTGACAGGAACCTCCTGAAGGTCACAAAGAGGAAGTGCAATGCCTCCATCTGGGAAGGGTAATTTCCTTCACCAGGATATGTTGAGGCCACCCACCCATGAGGAAGTGTAGAGGAAGGGATCCAGGAGTTCACCAAAATGTGCAACAACTCCTCTTTCAGCCAGGTGTTGCAGTGCTGTCCTGGTGTTGTCAGCAGGTACAGAACCCTTTCCCTCTGCTCCACAGCAGTGAGGCAGCCCTGGAGTGCCGGGCCCAGAGCTGGGCTGCCCAGGACGGGACACAGGGACAGACTGGACAGAGTCCAGCACAGGGCCATGAAGCTGATGGAGGGACTGCA